GTCGGCAGCAGTTAAGAGGGCGCGTGTGCTCAATATAAGGAACAGATTTGTGTCAATTGCCCGTCGCGCACATATATACAAAAGCCGCAAATATATATATATATATATACATTGATTCATTCATTTCGTTTGAACATTTTCAATCGATTATTTCCATCCATATGTAAATATTGACTCTTTCGATTTCTCTCCACTTGCTGATGATGATTCTTCTCTCGTCAATCGTATCATGTTTCTTAATGATCACCAGCAGCACGCGCTTCTTTCATTCAATTAGAACAACCACAGTATGTGTTCTTTTGTCGTTGATAAGTTTGAAACTTGTCGGAAGAAAGAGAGAGAGAGAGAGAGAGTGAGTGAGTAAGAACGGCACTTGCTCTTATCGCTATATATATATATATATATATATATATTCTCACCGCCTGTTCATGATTTGCTACATATGTGCTGTTGTATTTCTCTCATTTTTTTTAATGAGAACAACGAGAACGCGTCGAAGATCAATATTATTCTCCCTCTGTATGTGTCTGCCTATGATCTCTTGTTCATTGCTAAAATATTCTGTTGATTTGTCGCACATTTGATTGAATTCATACGATATTTAGATCTTATTATGTTTGAAAAAGAAGAAACAAAAAAAAAAAGAAAACTTGATTAAAATATTCTAAATGTATCAAAGTCATTATTTAATAGGAATTGAATTGATATTCAATAACCTTATTTATTCATTTAGGATAAAATATAATTACAAATTCAATCATCTTTTTTTTTTTGTCTTTTTGTCCTAATTATCACGCACATAAAAACAGGTGAAAGAGATTTTCTTTTTCTTTCCTTATGGCTATTTAATGTCTTACGATGATGATACATTAATAGTAGTAATGATTAATATTTTGTTCTATGTATCAAGAAAATAAATCAACAAAAACAAAACAAAAGACGGCCTTCTTGATGAATATATCTCTTCATTTCCTTCTCTATCATCAAATCCTTTTGTAAATTATTCACACCTTTTAAATTCTCTTATCTTAAAAGAAAAAAAAACTAACAAATGAATAGATCCTTACGTACACAATTTGATTGGATGCCTTCAAGCTACGGCATATGATCTAAATTCAATGTGACATTGTCAATCTGTTATCCATTATTTCTAATTGGCAAGTGTATGCGTATAGAGAATACATTTATTCACTTGTTCGATAGTTTTCCGAATAGAAAATATTTCTCTTTTGCTCGACTTTTTTTTTCTATTGGTTAGAAAACTAACAACAGTACCACTCAAGTGCACTATGTAATAATGGTTATTGATAGGCAGACATTAGTGCAAATTGTTCTATTATTCGACATCGATCATAACGATGACGACGTACGCACATATGTGTCTCTTAAGAGGAAAATGTTAACTTATCCATGATAGGTTTTTTTTTTTCTTTTTCCTCTTGATATCCAACTAACAATATGAATAAGATCGATGATGTGCAAGAATACAAAGTTAGAAGAAATCATACAACCTTTTTATGTCAGTAGAATCAAAATGAGATACTCATTCATGTTCTCGCTTTATGTGACGACGGAAGTCAATATATCATCGTTATATTCTTTGGAATAGATATTTACTTGTCGAACAATATATATAGATGTATATATCGATATCTGTGGAATCTTAATGACGACAAGTGTTTTGTTGATTAATAATTCTTATAAATGAGAATATTTTTCTTTTCTCTAGATGTAAGGAGAAGTAATGAAGAAAATAGCATAAAATGATTTCAAAAGTTTTTCTATTCAATAATTAAAATAAAATCTTTCTTGATGAAAATATCGAATATGATTTTTTTTTGTAATTGAAAATTTTTATCAGTTATTTTTAATAGTTATAGTTTTGGATTTAATAACAATAATAATTATACAATTAAATATTACAAGTATATGAAAATGAAAAGTATTTTCAATGAAATCTTTATTAATATACCGAGTGTGACAAAAATTTTGCGATATTCTAAAAGAAGAGAATCAATTTATTTCAAAAGAAAACATATTAATAAAATAACAATATAATATTTTAAAATCTACAGTAGAATGCTATTAGACTTAATTATGTTCATCTATAGTCAGTTCACCATTATGTTTTCCTACTGAATACACTCTTCAAAGAAAAGTATCAATTATTTTCCGAACCTAATTAATATGTATTATCAACTTTCTTTATCATTTTCTCAAAGCAAATAGTTGATTGTTTTGACTTTATGATATTCTATATGATTCGATGTATTATTCCGGATAGAATAATCCAATAGGTTTAATTCTAAGGAATTTGGTGGTGACCACTTTTCTTTCGAAATGAAGAATTTGAAATTATTTTTGCACTATTCTTGAGCTGTTCGATTGGTATGGAAGCTAGTCTTATCCTGTTGAAAACCTCGACTTTGGTGTCCAAATAGTCGGTCACCCTCCCTTTTATAAAATGATAACAATTCATCATAATAACTTTTGCTATTCAGCCATTCCCCTTTTTGAAAAAAATATGATGGTATAAGTCTATCCCACATTTCATTCAATACAACTATGACCTACATGGGATATTTTTCCATTTCTTTTAGTCCACTGCATCCATCGGCATCAGATCGATTATCAGTCCCGATAATACTATTTTTTGTAAATATTTTTTTATCAGCAAACGTCATTCTTTCCAATTTACCACGATTGATGTTCTTCCTAATCTATTGACAACATGTTTTTATTGTTAATTTTTGACCTTCTTTTAACTTTTGAAGATTAATTTTTCGATAACATGTTTTTTAAAATCGTCGCTGACCTATGGAAAAAAGAAATTTCGAATAAAACCGCGAAAGTCACGCTATTTATTCGGTTTTTACAAACCGATTAAAGCCGCGATGCGAAAATATCGCGATTTTCTCTGTTTCCCACTACGATATTTCCGAATCGCGGTTTTGATCGGTTTCTAAAAATCGAATAAATCGTCTGACTTTCATGGTTTATGGAAACTGCAGTTTTATTCGAAAATTTTTTCCATGAAGAGCACTCGCTTGTTGACTCCAGCATTATTTTTGAAGTCTTTAGTCATTATTTGTAAACTTTTTCGGAGAGCGCTGGAATCATGCCATTTTTTTTCATCAAGTTTATGAGTCGTTTCATACGGCCGATTCCTGGTCTTTCTGATTTTGGTTTAACATCAATCAAACCAGTTTGTTTATACAGACGTAGCCAGCAATCAACCGTACTTTGATGAACCTTATTCGCTAATAGCTTTGCAGTTTTTGGAGCTTTTTTCCCATTGTCGTGGTGAGAAAGATCGATGTGGAACGTTAGTGTCTACTAAAGTCGTATAAAATAAACTGGTTGTTACAGCAAAGGAATTATACAAAAGTTTTGTTCAAAATTGTCGCAAAGCTTTTGTCACACTCGGCAATCATAAGGGAATTCGATGTTTAAGAACAATATTTGAAGTTACTTAACACTTAGAATGTCGATGAAATAGTTAAGAATTAGATAACAAAAGAGATTGAAAATATTTTTTCTTAGTTAAAAATTCAATTTGAACGTAACTAATATTCAGTATTAAGAAGTAAAATTCAGCGGCGACTGTTCAGCATCGGTAAATATGTGTGCATTTTAGTAGTCATTCATCATTCTTCAAAATTTCTGATCAAGAAAACGAAGAAAAGATATTGTTTTTAATTAAGACTGCAGCAAGTAGCGACTTTACCGTTTATAGCTAATAGTTGCTTGAGTTTTAAAATCATTAGGCTCATCATGATGAATAATCATCTATATATTTTGTACTATAGCAAGTTATATAAGCACTAATACATCGGGACGTGCGAACCAACCAGTAAAGCATAGTCAAGGCAATAAATTTTTTTAAATTTAATAATAACCATATGAATCGGAATACACAATGAAAAAATGTGACCATCCATCTACTATTGCCGGTGGCAGAAATCAAGGCACTCGAATGTTTTTAAATAATTTACGTGAAATACAGGATCATGACATGCGGTTTTCAGCAACCGATAGTCAAGACTCTCAGACATCTTTTCATCAGCAAAATCTCTTGTCAGAAAAATTCCGAAGATCGACTTTCAAGAAGTCCTAAGGTTTTAATATTGTGCGATCGAGTACCTGCAGGTGAGGCATGAAACAATAGATTATTGAACAGACAGAGTCTTGTGTCTATATTAGTTTTCAAAAAAAAAATGTAAAAACTATACGAAACCCTAAAGTAAGTCAACAAAACAATTTTTGATTATTTCTATAAAAACCTGAAACCTTTATAATTCTGAAATAAAGCATATTCTTCTGATTGGCAAAGTTTTTTCGGAAATTTTCCAAAAGTGAAAGTGTTTTTTACTGGTTTCTAAAGCCTTTATTGAGTTTGACATTATGCAGGATATATAATGGAGTAGGTTTTGGTTTCTTCAAGCGGTTCTAATGTATTTTAGCAGAACTCTAAAGAATTGAAGTTTTTATGGAAATAACCAAGAATCATTTTGTTGATATACTCTAGATTTCATATGATTTTTGCAAATTTCTGGGAAATAAACATAGTTATGAGATTCGATCTAATTGATAACCTATCCTTTCATACATTCTTAATGATGTCTGACCAAACAATATGAAAATGTTAAGGCTTCTGAAAAGCCAATCTTTAGAATTTTTCTGACAAGAGGTTTTGCTTATGAACAAATGACTGATAGTCTTGATTATCGATGACTGAAAGCTGCATGTTATTATCTTGCATTTCATATCAGCTCTTCTTCATAAATAAAATTCGAGTGTCTTGACATCTGGCGCCGATAATAGTCAACATTAAAAGACTGCTATTCAGATTATATTTAATTGATTTTGAAAAAATATAATTCTTGAGTAGAAATTGTCTCGTGATCAGCATCGTGCCATATTTTTAACTTTGAAAAATGTAGTTTTTATTTTTACCAATATATATAGCAAAAAATGACAATAAAAAAATCAGTATACAATCATAGGGTAACTTCAAGTTCGTTTTCTGACTCGTCTTTATCCTTATTTTCATGACTAGTTGATAATATTCCGAACTCAATTTGTTGTTGTGAACTATTGATTTCTTTTTGCATACATAATTCATTATTTTCATTTTTTAATCTTTCAATATCATCAAAAGCTGCTTTAAGATGAGATTTTAATGCTTCATAACTCGTTTGTAATTCTTCTATTTTTTGTGAATCATCTTTTTTATTTTTCTTTGCTGTTATTGACGATAAATTCTTTGAATTTTCAGAATTATCATTTGGAAATATAAGTGCTGCAAATGAATCTACACCACCATGATCACCTAATAATACAACATTCTCTAATTCTAGTGTATGATGTCGTGACATTATTCGATTAATTTTTGTTGATGGTTTTGCATTCGATGTTGAATGAGCACGAGTTATTGTTGAATGACGTTGAGCTTTGATTGCCTAAAAAAAAATACAAAATCAAGATTTCCATATCATAATTGTTAATATCACAGAATGTCTATCGTTAGTAGAGACTATTAGGTCCAAAATTTTCAGAGCTGGTTAACAGAAAAATTTCAGACTCAAACGCAACCAGATTAATACGATGAACTGAAAAACCGATAGTTTAGTCTTATACACTGTTAAAATTAAGAGTTGCAAAAACAAAGATCGTATTTCATCAAATAAATAGAAATTCTGAGAACTATCATTTCTCTTGCTAAAATCTTTAGGGAAATCTTCAGTAATGTCTAATAGTTCGTAAACACAAAACAATTATTATATACGATATTCTATAAGGGAATATTTATTACATTCTTGAAATGCTTTAATGATTACCTTTTTTAATTTAAACTTCAAGTAATAATGATAGTTTACCTGTTCAGAACGATCTTTCAAGCGGCAAAAATGAATCATTTTTTCACATTGTACTATTTGTGCTTGAATAATTGATATCAGACTATTATCTTGTAGAGTATTTTGTGTTGCTTTGAAATATTCTATGAACGTAAGAAAAAATATATATTCTATTGATATGTTTGAAATTCTCAACAAACCGATTGCACGTAAATAATATTCAATAGCTACTGTCCATTTTTGTATTGATACTTGACTATCAGCTAAACGAATTTGTTGATGAGCCTATTTAAACATAAATTGAATATCGATTGAAATAAAAAGTTAAATAACATACATTTGGAAGTGATGATAAATTTTCAAGATCCATCGAAATAAAAAAAATATACAGATTTTTCGTAGTTTTTGTTTTTTAATAAGAATTTTCTATTTCTTATTTCGTCGTCTTTTTTTTTTTTATAAATATGAGCATACGTGTGTATTGTGCAAAAAAAAGTGAGAGAAAAAAAACGAAAAGTGTATTCACTACGAATAAAACTTTTCCGAAAAAGAAAAGAACAAAAAAAAAAAATGAAAAGTAGAATTAATGAATAACACACGTCCATACATTTGCATACACATACAAATGACATCGACAACAAATAAAGACAGAAGCAGTAATAATGTTGTCAAAACACGAAAGACATTTCCTTGGAACAACAAGAAGAAACAAAAAAAAAAAAAGAAAAAAAAGAAGATTTATATGTATTGCCAGAAGAGTTAAAGATCGTTGGTTTTTTATTTTATTTGTTTTAACGCACATAAAAACAGATCATTTTATTGCTTTGCACGTGCTCAGATTGTACTGTTATTAACAGGAAAATGCCATTACATATATATATAGAAATGTGTTGCGCACACAAAAAGAGACCTATTTATGAATGACTCAAAAAAGAAAAAACCGCAAAAATGAAGAGATAAAGAATGAGAGATTGAGACGATGAAACAATGTACATATGATATAATATATAACGAGGTTTGACAAGGCGAGAACAAAAAAAGAGAAGAACACATCACAGATGAACACTCGATCGTTTTGAAATAGCCGTTTTCATGAGCGATGCTGTAATGAGCTTTGAACCATGATCTTTTGTTAAATATATTTCATTTAAATCTAATATTGATTGTAATGGTCCTAATGTATGTATTGTCGGTGGGTAACAAGAAAAAAATTTATGCATCATTGCATCACGTGCTGATATTCGAGAATGTGGATTATATCGTAAAAATTTTTCTAATAAATCAATTGCATTTTGATCAAGACGTGGTGCTAAATGATTTAATGATTCACCATGATAATAAGGAAATCTTAATGCTTGAAAATCAGGATTTGTTGTTACACCGGGTAAAGTTTTTTCATTTGGTGTACCAAGACATTTAAATATTAAATATAATTCTTCATCAACTTTTGTACCAGCAAATAATGGTCGGCCACATGCCATTTCATAAAAAATACAACCAACAGCCCATACATCAATTGGTGTTGAATATTCTGTACTACCAAGTAAAACATCTGGTGGTCGATACCATAATGTAACAACTTCATGTGAATAAGTTTTTGTTGGAAATGATTTAATACGTGCTAAACCAAAATCAGCTAATTTTAATTCACCACGTTCATTAATTAATAAATTTTGTGGTCTAAAATAGAAATTTAATTTAAATTAAAAGACACGAAAAAAAAAACAAAAGATTATTACTTAAGATCTCGATGAAGAATTTTTTTTGAATGACAATAATCTAAACCACGTAAAAGTTGAAATAAAAAAAGACGAACATTCTTTATATTAAGTATATTTCCACAATCATCCATATATTGTTTTAAATCTTTTTCAACAAATTCAAATACAAGTGTTAATGTTGTTTGATTAAATATAATATCATGTAAACTAACAATATTAGTGTGCTTAAGACCTTTTAAAAGGCTTACTTCTCGTAATGCTGTACATGGAGCACCTAAAAAACAAAGATAATAAAGAAATTGAATTGATTTATTTATTTATTTTTTATAGAAATGAAAACACTATTGATAACAAATGTAAGATATAATCTATGATGAGAAAGTCTACAGCCACTAAAAGACAACTGGTTAGAGTCAAAATGAGAATTCTCCGCGAGTTCTGAGTATTTTTCAGATTTTCTTTCTAGGTTAAGATTGAATAACTATCAGTATATTGTGTTAGCGAGTTCGAAATTGTGTCCCGTACAAAGAAAATAATGATTTTGGTGCAGTACTTAGTTTGTGTCTTAACATAGTTTTTCAACTCAACATTATTGTAGAACACTAAATTCTGTACAAAATGAGATATTATAATAAGCGAAATCTCATTCTACTCGAGCGCTAGTCTCTGTGGAAATGGGCATTGGTAAAGAAAAGTCACCGTTTTGAAAAACTGCTTTTGAAATCTGTCAGACAAGATAATAGAGAAAAGTAAATAGTACGCTCTGTAGAGTAAACTGAAACATTAAAAACTGGTTAGCATTTTGAATTTGATAGATTTCAATCAAAATACAAAATTGACCACAATAGTATTCTGTACAACTACTATTTTGAAATAATCTGATGATAATTGTCCAATCTCTTACATCAGAAGAAGCTTGTAAGCACATATTTTGTGTCAAGACTTTCGTGCCATAGATTAAATAGATAAAAATATAGGGATTGAACAATACTCATAAAAATGAAACATTCGTTATTTTTTTTGTTCCGAAATTTTCTGAGTGTGCGTTTACTTTAATTTTTTCTTCACTCGAAACTAAAGACGTGCCGGACGATGAGAAAAAGTTGTCCCAACCAGAACTTAAGATTATAGTCAAATATTCTGTTATTTTGAAGCAAATTATCTTATAAATCAAAATATAATTCAAGAGAGATGATCCAAAAAAAGTGTTAGTCGTCTACTAAATAAATCAAAAAACGAGCCTTAAAGAATATTTTCAGACGTGAAACAAATAAATTTTAGAATAGTTTTCTCTAGACTGGAACTAGTGGAAAACAATTATCGAAACTGTGACCAAAGAAATTTTGATTCCGCACATCTCTACCTGATAGTCATTTTTATTTAATGAAATTTAAGAAAATTTATTCTAGACTTTTTCAATATATCAATACTACTTAAAGAATAAAGTAATTTACATCTGAAAAATTAACCCATTACCTCGAGTAAGTCTTTCATGAAATTAGCATAGAAAAAAAAATCATCTATCATGAATTATTTTAATTAAACATACCTTCTTCTTGTTCAAGTCGAATTTCTTTTAATGCAATATAACCATTCAATAAATGAGATTTTCCTTTATAAACAGTCGCATATGTACCTATTAAAAATATAAATAATAAATGAATATTTTTATTTAAAAATAAATCTTAAACCTTCTCCTAATTTTTCTAATTTAATATAAGATTCAATTTTTCCAAAACCAAGATCAAGCATTGAAAGACGTTGTTCATTTCGACTTAATTGTCCACTCATACTTGCATTTAATTGTGATGGTGATCGATGTACTAATGATGAATTTGATTGATTTAAAACATTATTTAATGTTTGTGTTGATAAAGAATTTGTTTGATAATAAGATGAACGTTGTGGTATTTGTTGCTGATTTAATTTAAGTTTATTTGTTAAATTTATTCCTGATGATTGATTATTATTATTATTATTATTATTATTAATTACAGTTAAATTTTGTTTTGTAAATGAAAAACTATTTTTTAATTCCGGTGGTAATGATATACGCGATTTAAGATCACGTAAACCTCTTTTCTTTTTTGCACTATGTTCACGCATTTTAACTTTAGTTACTTCTTGATTAGAATTTTCAATATTATTTGTTGAATATTGTTTTGTTAAACTATCAGGTGTTATTGACTGAATAACAGTTCGTCCTGAATTAAATGAAACAAAAATAAATAAATAAATAAAATTTTAAAAACATAAACTTTTTTTTTACCTTTAGTGTTTGTTGATGAAGATAAAGAGGAATCAACATCATTAATAGCTGATGTTGATAAATGATGATCATTTATTTGAGCATTTATTAATGTATTAACATCACCATGTAAACTAATTGAATTTGTTAAATAATGTTTATTAGTATTAGTATTAATATTAGTATTATTAGCAAGAACAGCTAATGCTGTGCCAATATTAGATGTCACTGATGATGAAGATTTGGACGGTTTTATCGGATCATCTCGTTGTTGATATTGATTACCGTTTAATATATTATTTCGATTTTTATTTGATGTTGATGAAATACCCGATGGAGATGATGTATGAGCAGATATAAATGATGATGATGATGATAAACCTATGATTATATTTATTATTATTATTATTATTATTATAGAAAAAAAAGAAATCATTATTATCTTACTTAGACTAGGTGCAATTCTTTGTGTTTGTTGATGTGTTAATGCTGCACTATCAGATCGAATTGTATTATCATAATAATAATCTTCCTCATCAATATTTGTTGTTTTTAATCGATTTTGTTGTTTGATTGGTACAGGATTTTCTTCTTCGGATATTGGTACTAATGCTGTACCACTACCATTACACATAATACTTGTATTTGAACGTGTTATAAATGATGAATCATTTTCATCGATTTGTTTTGCATGTAAACGTTGATATATAATATCAGCAGTTAACTTATTTGGTTGATCATTACTATTAGATGTATTATTTGCTGCTATATTTGATAAATCTGTATTTGTACTATGACTACGTTTAAGAAATTGTGAAAAATTTCGAAAAGATGTACGACGTTTCTTTTGTTTAATATTTGGTTTTGTTGGTTGAGTTGTTGTTTCATTATGTGAAGTTGTTGCTATTCCTAATGGATGAAATTTTTTTGTTAATAAATTTTTAATTGATGAATATTGAGAAGAACTTTGTTCAGGTTTTGATTTTGTTGTTGTTGTTGTTGTTGTTTCATCAATTGTTGTTAAACTTTTTATATTATCATAACTTGTATCACGTTGTATCGATGATTTATATAGAGAAGATACTTTTGCTGATTTATTCATCTAAATTATTCGAAGAAAAACAAATTACAATAGTAGACAAAAGTCTTCCATCTCATGTATCTCGACTTCCATACATGCTATAGGTGGAAAAATTTCTGTGCACATTCTCTACTAATGAGGAAATGTTCTCAAGTGATAAATTGCTTTCAAGCTGAAACTATATTCAGTCAACAGGATTTAATGCGGAAGTAAATATCCTAGAGTAATTTGAGCTGCTAGACCTTTGTTTCTAAGATATCGAATTTTTAGTGGATTTTTCCTGTGGAGCTCTAATTATTAAGAAAAATTATATTTTTTGA